ACACACACACACACACACACACACACACGAAGAAAAATAAAAGGAGAAGGGTGGGAGTAGGGCTCCAGTAGAAAAGTATCTGATCTTAAGTGTTACCAAAACAAACAAGCAAACAAAACAAGCACCTCAGCTAATAAAGCCAACTGCCATTAATATGTAGAATAATTTATCTTTAAGAAGTCATTTAAAAACAGTATTTTGTTTCCCTTTAGATCAAGGATGAAACAAGAATACGTCTATTCTTGCCACTCCTATTCAACATTGCTCTGCAGGTCTTAACCAGAACTGACGAGAAAAATACAAAGCATTCATATAGGAAAAGAAGAATTTGCATATGGTAAGAACTTATATAAGAAGATCCTAAAAAAATCCACACATTAAAGAAAAAAAAATCTATCTGTTAAAACTAATGAGAGAATTCAGCAAAGTTGCAGGACACAAACAATATGCAAAAATCAGCTGCATTTCTATAAACTTGCACTGAGCAATCCAAACAAGAAACTAAGATAACAGGATCATTTGTCACGATAGCATCAAAGAAAAGAAAGTACTACAGAGAATACTACAGAAAAAAAGCTTAACTGAGGAGATAGAAGGCATATATAAAACGCTACTCAAAGTAAAAATTAAAGACTAAAGAACATATGGAAAGATCTAATGGAAATATCCCATATTTCATGGATTGTACAATTTAATAGTAAGACAGCAATATTCTCCAAAACAAGCGCTGAATGTAATTCTATTAAATTCCCAAAGGCTTTTTTCTTTGAGGGAGGGGGGTTCAGAAATAGGAAAGTGAATCCCCAAATTCATATAGAATTTGAATACTTAAAAGAATCTTGAATTAGCCACTTTTTTTTTTTAATTTCATAACTTAAAAAAGTAAAGTAGCCAGGAGGCTGGTGGCTCATGCATGTAATCCTAGGTACTCAGGAGGCTGAGATCTGAAGATCATGGTTCAAAGCCAGTTCAGGCAGGAAAGTCTCGGAGACTCCTATCTCCAATTAAGCACCAGAAAACCGGAAGTGGTGCTGTGGCTCAAGTGGTAGAGCACTGGCCTTGAGCTGAAGAGCTGAGGGACAGCACCCAGGCCCAGAGTTCAAGCCCTATAACCAACCAAGAAAAAAAAAAAAAGAGCAAAACAAAACAAATTTCCCAGAGTTCAACCTCTAGTACTGCCCAAACCAAAAATTGTATAGCTGGGCACTAGCAGCTCACACCTATAATCCTAGCCACCCATGAGGCTGTGATTTGAAGTTTCAGGTTCAAAATCACCCTGAGCATGGGGCTGGGAAGGTGGCTCAGTGGTAGAGCGCTTGCCTTGCATGCCTGAGGCCCTGGGTTCGATTCCTCAGCACCACATAAGAAAAAAAAAAAAAAGACCATTAAAAAAATTAAAAAAAAAAAAAAATCATCCTGAGCAAACAAATGTGAGAAATTCTGATCTTCAATAACCAGCAATAAGCAAAAACTGGAGGTTGGGTTCAAGTGGCAGAATGCCAGCCTTGGATGAAAAAACCAAGCACAAGGCCATGAGTTCAAGCCTCAGTATACACACCAAGTCTATTGTCACAAGAATAAATAGTCACACAAATATCAGACTTGATGATCCAAAATAAGCCCATACATAGTTGGTTATTTCCTACAAAGATCTAAAGGCCATTTTAGTGGGTCTTTGCTGGAGAGCTGCATATCCACACAGATCCTGCCTTTAGATACAAAGATGAATACAAAATAGACCAATAACCTAAATTTAAGGTCTAACACCACAAAAGTCATAGAGAAGAAAACAAAGGATATATCTTCATGATTTTGAATTTAACTTAAATGAATTAAAACAGTGGACTTATGAACAACAAAAATACAGACCAAAAAAAAATAAAAAAAAGAAAAGAAAAGGAGCCAGGCGCCGGTGGCTCACACCTGTAATCCTAGCTACTTAGGAGGCTGAGATCTGAGGATCACAGTTCAAAACCAGCCCAGGCAGGAAAGTCTGTGACACTCTTATCTCCAAAATCACTAGAAAGCCAGAAGTGGTGTTGTAGCTCAAGTGGAAGAATGCTTGCCTTGAGCTGAAGAGCTGAGGGATAGTGCCCAAGTCCAGAGTTCAAGTCCTACAACCAGCCAAAAAAAAGAAAGAAAGGAAAGAAAAGGAAAGAATGCACTTCATCAAAATTAAAAATATTTATAGCAGGGTGTGGTAGTACACACCTTCAATCCCAGCACTTGGGAGGCTGTATTTCCATGTTCATTCAGCACTATTCACAATAGCCCCATTAAAGTCAACCTAAGTGTCCACAAACAGATAGATGAATGGATAAAAAAAATGTGCCTATACACAATGAAATACTACTCAACCTTTTAAGAGAAGAAGAAAGAACAGAAAGAAGGAAAGTGAAGGAAAGAAAAAGAGAAAGGAAGGGAAAAAAGGAAAGGGGGAAAAAAAGGAATATAGATACTAGTGTATTGAAACAAAATGTCTTATTCACAGAAAAGAATAAATAAGTTCGGGCACTGGTGGTTCATGCCTGTAATCCAAGCTACTCAGGAGGCCGATATCTGAAGACCACGGTTCAAAGACAGGGCAGGAAAATCCCTGAGACTCTGATCTCCAATGAACCACCAGAAAACCAGAAGTGGTGCAGTGGCTCAAGTGATAGAGCACTAGCCTTGAGCTGAAGAGCTGAGGGACAGTGCCCAAGCCCAGAGTTCAAGCCCCATGATCAACAACAACAACAAAAAAGAAGTCTAATTATTGAAATAAATCTTGGTTTAGTATGTAGTTAAATGTTCCTTAGACAGGAGGAGCAGGAACACAAATGGAGTAAAACAAACCTGCGTGTCTAAAAGAATCACTGAGTAGCACATTCACATAATGATGAGTTTTTTCTTAGGAAGGATCCTGCTTTATATACTGATCTAGAGAAATATTCCCATTTAGATGAACAAGCTCTAAAAACACGTGTAGAATATAGGTCCCATTTGACTAAAAACTAGTAAAGTAGGGGCTGGGAAGGTGGCTCAGTGGTAGAGTGCTTGCCTTGCATGCATGAGGCCCTGGGTTCAATTCCTCAGCACCACATAAGCACAAAGAAAAAAGCCGGAAGTGGCACTGTGACTCAAGTGGTAGAGTGCTAGCCTGAGCTGAAGAGCTGAGGGACAGTGCCCAGGCCCAGAGTTCAGGCCCCATGACTGGACCCCCCCCCAAAAAAAAAAAAAAAAAAACCTAGCAAAGCAAACATTCTTAACGGACACGTAAAGTCAGGGCAAAGCGCTATCACAGAAGGCAGAGAGCCCCTCACTGCTGCTGGGGCACTAGTTACCCCTAGGGGTGAGAATGGAGGGAAATAGAGGTTTGACATACCTCTACCATTTTCAACAAAACCATGAAGAATAAATAAATGCCTCAAATACAAAATCCCACATACAGATAAAAGAAAACTTGGCAAGGGGAAAAAGAGAAATCAACAACATCCATATTTCTACTATATGGAGATAATAACCATTGTAAATGTTTTTAGTTTACTTCATGTATTATCTATTTATATGACTGTGTCAACATACAGTGATCCACACACGGTTTATGCTCCCATTCTACTTATCTACTGCTTTAACAATATTTGTACATGCTACCAGATGTACTTTTTGAGCTGGGGTCTCACTATGTTGCCTGGGTTGGCCAGGAATTCAGATCCTTTCACCTCATCCTCCAGAGAAGCTGGGATTACAAGTATGCACAACTGTATAATTTGTAAATAAATTTAATAAATTATATACTACATCATTAATATGCTAATTTACTTAACCACTGCACTTTGGTGATCAATGACATTATCGCCAATATTTTTGCAATGATTCCTGATCTTCAGAGTATAAGTTTTGAAGAGACTTGCAAAAACTGAATTACTGGCAAAATAAATACACAAAGAAATAGAAAAAAAGAAACCCCTGATCTCACACCATTCATATAAAGAGTAAATGTTATAATGGGTCTTTCTTGGGGTCAGTACTAAGGTTTAAACCCAGGGCCTTATACATGTTAGTCAAGTGTTCTACAGCTGGGGCCGCTCCCTCAGTTCTTCTCCCTTCTGTTATTTTTCCTAATAGGGTGCTTGTCCCAGCCTAGACAGAAACCTTTCTGTTTATACTTTCTACACAGCTGAGATTACAAAAACATACCAGTATGCCCATCTTGGTGTTTTGTTTTTTTTTTTAAATCAATTGTGGGGCTTGAACTAAGAGCCTGGGCACTGTCCCCAAGTTCTTTTTGCTCAAGGCTAGTGCTCTACCACTTTGAGCCACAGCTCCACTTTCAGTTTTTTGGTGATTAACTGGAGATAAGAGTATCTCATATGCCTTCCTGACCAGGCTAGCTTTGAACCACGATCTTCTGATCTAAGCCTCCTGAGTAGCTAGACATGGGCCACCAGCAACCAGCTATGCCCATCTTTTGAATGGCTGAGATATTGCCTAAACTGGTCTTGAACCGTGATCTTCATGAGCTCAGCCCCCTGAATAGGTACAATTACATATGTGAGTCACTGTGCCCACTGTTAATGTGATAACAATGATATATTTATCTTAAAATAAAACTAAATGAAACTACATAATTTACATACATACGTATCTCTGTTGCTTCCTTTGTAAATTGCTATTAATGCATTTTCTGTTCATTAACATATAAAATACACCATCCTCAATTTTTTTTTTGGGGGGGGTGGGGAGGGTCTGGTCCTGGGGTCTGAACTCTGGGCCTGGGCGCTGTCCCTCAGCTCTTCAGCTCAAGGCTAACACTCTACCACTTGAGCCACAGCGCCACTTCCAGCTTTTTTTCTTTTTTGCTTATGTGTTGCTGAGGAATCGAACCCAGGGCCTCAGGCATGCAAGGCAAGCGCTCTACCACTGAGCCACCTTCTCAGACCCCACCATCCTCAATTTTTGTAATAATAGCATCACCTTAGTTTAGCTTATTAAAGGGTTATATTTTAACAGCAAGGACAATTGTTCACTGAGAAGAGTTCAGTCACATTTGTGTCAGTAGGTGGCAGAGAGAAGAGAGGCCGTCTACACTCAGGGTTTTAACTCATGAACATTTGCGTGATTTAGCCTGACGCTTGCCAGTGCCTTGTGACTCTGTATGCATGTGCCAGCAACATGAAACCCCTCTCAGTTGATGGCCAGGGAGTTTTTGACACTCCTGCATCTGAAGGGGGCCATTTTGCCAGGAAGGTTAGAGGAAGTTTCACTTAAGTTGACTTGCTGAAAATCATAAAAAGCAAAAAGTCTTAAGAAGCAGGGCATGACAACCTGCACTGTAATTCCAGCTACTCAAGAGGATAAGATGGGAGGATTGTGAGTTTGAGGCCATCTCAGAAAGAGAGAAAAAAAAGTGTAGGAGCAGTAGTAGATTGCTTATTTTACAAATTCAGATTTATTAAAAATGCGATCAATTAAAAAATTTAAATTGGTACCTGCTGAATTCCAAGGCACAAGTATAAGATACTGTCTGGATCATATTTTTCACCATTTGGTCTCCGCACCTCTTGGATAAACTGGCATAAGCCCAAACTCAACTCAGCAAAAGTACAGGACAGAATATCTTCCTTCAGCTTGATAGGACGGACTGTGGAAAGGTATAAAGCATCTGAAATATTAACTCAAAACACATAAAATAACATTGAGTGACTGAATAAGCACTGAGCACTTCCGTGCTCTAGGCTCTGTGGTACACACTGTGATTAAAAACAGATTCTAAGCTAAGTATAGTGCATACCTGTAATCACAGCACTTGACAGGGTGAGGCAGGACTATGAGTTGCATGGCAACCTGGAGTACACAGTGAGAGCCTATCTCAACGTCACACACACACACACACACACACACACACACACACACACACACACACACACACACACACACACACACACACACACACACACACACACACACACACACACACACACACACACACACACACACACACACACACACACACAGAAAGGTCCTGACCTCAAGGCTTTCCAAGTAGGAGAAAAAAAGCTTAGCATAGTACACATGGTACAATAACAAAGGTTTTGTTTAAATAAGATAGCGTGAAATTTTAAAAAGTTCTACTAAAGAGTCAAATTAGAGTGCAGAGGAAGTGACACTGGGGCTCCTCAGAAGAGCTAAGAGTTAGAATGGTAGATGGGCAAAAGAAGTCCAAGTTGAGGACACAGAAAGATTTCCCAAAGCACTAATCCTGTATGAGAGAGAAAAAAAACTGGCTTTCTAAGATCTAACTATCTCTAAACAATTGCTATTGCCTGGAAGTACACTAAAGAATACCTACAGAGAATACCTACAGAAGGAATTCTACTAACTTCAGAACTGACTACTCTTCAAATAACATAGAACATCTCTCTGCCCTTAGAAATATTATAATGCAGCCAGGCACCAGTGACTCATGCCTGTAATCCTAACTACTCAGGAGGCTGAGATCACAGTTCAAAGCCAGCCCAGGCAGGAAAGTCTGAGAGACTCTTATCTCCAATAAACCACTAGAAAACAGGAAGTGGCACTGTAGCTCAAGTAGTAGAGCGCTCACCTTGAGCTGAAGAGTACAGGGACAGTGCCCAAGCCCAGAGTTAAGCCCCACAATTGACAAAAAATAAAATAAGTAAAAAAGAAATATTATAATACAGTGTTCCAGTTGCTAGACCATAAGGATGTAAAGGTTCTAAGGATTTAGGTGTACAAGAAAAAATTAAGAAGGGCAGCTTAAAGCAGATTATGACCATATATCATGTTAAGATTTGAAGGTAATTAGGACTGATTTAATTTTATTTATTTATTTTTATTTTTTGGGGGGTCCAGTCGTGGGGCCTGAACTCTGGGCCTGGGCACTGTCCCTCAGCTCTTCAGCTCAAGGCAAGTGCACTCTACCACTTGAGCCACAGTGCCACTTCCGGCTTTTTTCTATTTTGCTTATGTGGTACGGAAGAATCGAATCCAGGGCCTCAGGTATGCAGGGCAAGCCCTCTACCACTGAGCCACCTTCCCAGCCCCAAAATAATATTCTTTTTTTTGTTGGTCGTGGGGCTTGAACTCTGGGCTTGAGTGCTATCCCTGCGCTCTTCAGCTCAATGCGAGTGACCTACCGCTTACAGCACCACTTCCTGATTAATTTTAATCAGAGGATTTATCCAGTTTGTAGAGATCCTACTCCAACAGATTGCCCCATGTTGTGCAATAAGAATGAAAACACACTTTATATTCATTGCTATTCTTCATTCAGACAGGATTGCACATTTCCAAAGATACACTTGGGATCTCCTGTATTGGATGAGTATGGGCTCTTGAGGGCAAGGACCATGTTTGATCTTTTCAGTACTTAACACCATGCCTGATAAATAAAAGACATTTATTTTCTGAGTGAAAGAGTAATAGAAATGGGTAGGCATCTCCTAGAGCTATTGAATTTAGATGAAGTCTAAAACAGTATTACTTCACTGTCACTATAATCTGGGGTTTCACAATGCTGTCCAAGCTGGTCTGGATTTGTGTGCTCAAATGATCTTCACAGTTAAGTTACAGGCCACTGTCTTTTTGTGTGTGTGTTGGTCATGGGGCCTGAACTCTGGGCCTGGGCACTGTCCCTCAGCTCTTCAGCTCAAGGCTAACACTTATCACTGGAGCCACAGTGCCACTTCTGGCTTTTTCTGCTTATGTGGTGCTGAGGAATTGAACCCAGGGCCTCATGCATGCCAAGGCAAGCACTCTACCACTGAGCTACCTTCCCAGTCCAGGCCACTGTCTTTTATGGTTCTAAGTGTGGGATTGCCGACCTCCTAGATTACCCTAATAGGAGGATATTCCCTTACCTTAGAACAAAGAGATTACATTTAATCTATAGGAACTCAGTCAGTCAGCTACATCTCAGAAACATGCCTCCAATAAGTAGGGCTGCGTGTGCTCCAATACCAGCAGCATAGTCTAGCAGCAGGTGAAGCTAAGAGCAGTAATAATTACCCAGGTGTAAGAGTTTATAGTGTATAGCTGAAAAGTGACCAAAAAAAACCTATAATGGATATACTCATCCACTTTTCTCTATATCATTCCATAAAAACTTTATTATATAACTTTTATTTTTAAAATAGATGTGAAACTGAAACATGATTTGGCCAATTCAACATTGGCCCTGGATGTGAAAGATTTAAGTAATTACTGCTAGAAGAAATTTTATAGTATATATAATTATAAACCATGATAATCAGGGCTGGGAATGTGGCTTAGTGGTAGAGTACTTGCCTAGCATGCATGAAACCCTGGGTTCAATTCCTCAGTACCACATAAATAGAAAAGGACAGAAGTGGCACTATGGCTCAAGTGGTAGAGTGAGCAAAAGAAGCCCAGGGACAGTGCCCAAGACCTGAGTTCAAGCCCCAGGATTGGCAAAAAAAAGAAAAAAGAAAAAAAAAATCACTAAAAGCAAAACATAAAAAAAATTGTGTTAAAAATAGTGAAAAATGAAAACTATATAGGCCATAAAATTATACACAATAGCTATGTTTAAATTGTTTCATTCAAGTTTGATAGCTAAAACTAATGAACACTGCTAATTATATAAATGTCATTAAGAAATATTCCTACAAAAGCAGCAAAATTTTCCAAGTATTCTAAGAAAAACCTCATAGTAGATTCTATATCAGTTACTATTGTTGTAAGACTCAAGAACACATTTTATACCACTTTCAGTGTTAAGAAACTACAATGAATCTCTTAGGTTTGCAGAATAAATTCACCTTCAAAAGATACAGCCTTATCTATATAAGTAACAGTGAAGGTAGGATATTAATTGCTCTTTCTTATCCTAAAACTCAAGGACACCAGTGGCTCACAGTTATAATCCTAGCAGCCCAGGAAGTTGAGATCTGAGGATCTCGATTTAAAAACATCCTATGTAGGAAAGTCCATGAGACTCTTCTTCAATTAGCCACCCCAAAGCCAAAAGTGGAGCTGTGGTTCAACTAGTAGAGCCTTGTGCAAAAAAATTCAGCGACTCTGCCCAAGCCCCAAGTTCAAGCCCCAGAACCAGCATTAAAAAAAAAAAAAACCTCAAAATTCCAAAGTTTAAATCAGTGATATCGTAAGTAATTCATAACAAATGGAAAAAGCAAATTTTACCTCTGCAACCTGACTCTGAGGATTCTTGAGAGAGTGTCTGGTCTTGAGTACTTCCTAAGGGCTCAGAACACGGGCTGGATGAGGCCTGTTCACCTCCTGACCAAGAGAGACAAAGAGAAGTTTAAATAGCAGTAAGAACTAAATAAAGCTAACGTTTTTAAGGTTCTGACCTAGGAGTTGACTATGGCTTTACTAATTTGTATCTCCCCACCTAAACCAAGACACAAATTCATGCTGTGTATTTACCTCCGCACTTTAGATCCCCCTGTTCTTCCTTGGCATTTTTCCACTGAACCCAGTTCTTCCAGGCATTTACCCCATACATATATTTCAATGTCATCCCAGACACTGAACACCCTTGAAAGGCTCCTTGAATAAGACTCCTGGGCTCCACAGCTACTATAGACTTCTTCCGTCCCTGTGAGAATTCCAAAAATTTACAGAATATAAAACTTAGTTTGGGATCTTTAAAATAAGAGTTCTCAAAGCTGGGATAAATAATATGGAATTTGGTTTTATACCCTAAAGATTCAGGATTCTTAGAGCTAGAAAGGAACTATCTAATCCAATCCACATGAGACAGAAGGAAAAATCATTAAATGTAAATCACACTTGAATTAATTACCAACATGTGGCTGCTTACTATTTTTCAGACATTGGACCCACCCACTGAGATATGAGTAGCCTTCATTATCATTCTGATCTAGTTAATGGGCTACATGAATTGATCCTATTCTAAGCTATAAAATAGGCTATAGTAAACCCTCTAACTACAAAAGAATTAAACTAGAAACCAATAATGAACACTGCTAGTTCAATAGATGTCAAGAAAAAGCCTCTAAAATCACCTACTAACAATATATTCATAAACAATTATGGATCACAGGAGAAATTACAAATTCAATTATAAAATATCATGACTTTAAATGAAAACTTTAATACTTATCAAA